CGCTTTGAGCGCACAGAACCAGAAGAGGAGGAGCCCAAGAAGAGAGAGCCCCACAAACCAAAGAAACTGCAGACTGAATTCATCAAAGCTTATGATGTAAAAGAGCTTGAAAAGGAGGAGCCTGAAAGGAAGCGATATCAACCTAAGAAGCTTATTTTCCCTGAATTTGTACCCCAATCTGTCGTTAAGAAGGAAGTCTTGGAAACGAAGAAGCTAGATCGTAGCAAATTTGATGTTAAAGTGCCCGAGAAGCACGAGGCTGAAAGTGTGCGTGCTCAACCTAAGAAGCTTAATATCCCACAATTTGTATCTCAAGGTGTCGTGAAAAAGGAGGTTATAGAGACTAAAAAGCTAGATCGTAGCATCTTTGGTGCATCGCAGTTAAAAGAGGAGCCCAAAGAGAGGGAACCCTTTGCACCTAGAAAGTTGCGAAGTGAATTTATGAAGACGTCTTATGAGCCAGAGGACCAAGAACCTAAAAGAAGTGAGAAGACAGAACCAAAAAAATTGATTATCCCACAGTTTGGATCGAAAACTGTTGCTAAAGACAATTTTGAAACAAAAAAATGGGACCGAATAAGTGAGGATCAGCCTACATCTGAACCTGCTGACGTTGATGTGAATGTATACAAGTCACGTAAGGTGGAAATATCAAAGGATAAACGAAATGATGATGCGAGAAAGGATCTGGAAATAAGAGGGTATGTAGTGTTGCTTGGTTTTAGATTAAAATATTTTACAAACGATATCGAAAATAGTGCAGTTTCAGTGCCGTAAGCGTGAGGTGCCGTGACCGTGATGCTTTCTAGAATTTTAATTGGCTGATTTCTTCACGCGCAATGTGATTGGTCTGGCATTGCCGTGACCTTGGCGTGAGAGTTTCCGCGCCGTGTTTGTGCCGTGTTACGGGTATTTGATTGGATGGAGAGTAWATTCTCGTGCAATGTGATTGGTCTGGCGTATCCCTTGCCGTGTCATGGCCGTGTCCGTGCCGTGAATTTTTCACAGTCATACGAAAACTGCACTATTACAATATTACTCTATGTAAGTTTTCATACCTAAAAGTTTTTTTTAAATTTTATTTTAATTTTTCAGCCCTTCTGGATTGAAATTCCATCAGCAAATCGAAAGAGCAACACAGGTATCATTTGTCATAATAATATTTGCTTGTGTTTTAATTATCATAAATTATTCTATTTTTGAAAAGGGATAAAAAGGAAAAATATAATTATAAGTTACCTTCGTAACCTTACTGTATCACTACCGTGTCTGTTTTCGTTTTTGGTATGCCTTATTATGCGATCTTGAGTCACACCTAAAGGGAACATAAGGGGGAAATTAAGATGAGGATGACCCTTGGTTTTTCAACTACGGATGGATATGAGAATGGTCGTTCGAATACACCCCAACTTTACCAAATATCATATCGTTATTTCCATAAGTCTTGCGCCCCATTCTGACTCAAAGAACAGAAGAAAAAGGAAAGTCCACTGAAGGTTGATAAACCAAGGGTCGCGACACAAGAAAATTTGGCACAGAAAATTTACATTTCTATACCTTTTAATCAAAGGATTTTCAAATAATTATGGAAAAATAATTGAAAAAGCTGGCTTCGAATTATTTTTATTTGTATGTGTATTTGGTGCAAAAGACTCCTTATTTTTGATTTATTCAGGTAAAAATTCAAAATAAATGTTTTTTAATAATTCCATTTTTGTTACTTACTTTAAAGCTTGAGAGTCATGGTAAAAATCAGTTTTCGATGATACAAGTAGACAGCGCTGTTACACACGATCCAGAAGCAACGGTCATCACAGTAGACGGAAGCATCTCCAAGAATAAGCGATGGGGTACCCCAGCTGACAAAACTGTCCAGCTGACTGATGCAAGGAAGCCAGAAAATGTTGACGTTTCTAGAAACTTCAAAAAAGAAAACACTTATCACACCACAAGTGAAGAAAAACATGAAAACCTTACAGTTATCAAACAAACCTCTAAAACTGTGAGACAACAAAGCCACGAGAGTGTAGAAAGAGTTTATAGTCAAAAAAAGATCACGGATTCGACCACAGAGAGGCCTAAGGCTTATGATGGACATTATAAGATAACGCAAACCACGGATCAAGTTAGCATGTCATCGCCGAGACAAGATTCTCCTGAAGAAACGTACAAAGGGAAAAAAGTAATTACTGTAGGAAAACAAAAACTAATTCAAATGGATAACGCTGGAACAGCTTTTGTAAATTTGAACATTCACCGTGGACGAAAAGAGGACAAAGAAAACCCAAGGGAAAGTGCCAGTGAACCTCAAAAAACTCGTCACTTTCCTGGCCAAGTCGACGGAGCTGCTTATGTCGATGTCAGTTTCCAACACGATGTTAAAAGTCAGCCAATTAGCAAAACTGAAAAATGGAAAGTAGAGCAAGGTGATAGCAAGTTTCCGAAACGTAGTGACCAAAGGGATCAGGAAACAGCTTTTGTCGAACGTCAGCCGCAACAAGGATCTCAGAAAGGCTTCAAGTGGAACGTCCACAACTCTGGAGATCGAAGAGATAGTAGGACCTCTAGAACTACGACTAGCACTCAACAAGATCATGGAGTTGCAATCGTTGATGTGAACGTTCAACATGAACGTCAGCCCCAACAAGGATCTCAGAAAGGCTTCAAGTGGAACG